AAAAGTAGATGTCACTGCTACTGCTAACCCCCCCCCCCCCCCCCAACCGACTCTTGGCTGCTATTCCCGGCCCTGGTCCTGGTCGGTCCCACGCTCACGACTCCCACGGCTCCTCTGCTGCTTAGCCTTCTTCAACTTACTATTGCTACTCCTCCCGACATGAAAGAAACACAAAAGTCGTCGACTTAAGAGTACTACCAAAGACCATCCCACCGGGCACGACCGCTCAAAACCACGGATGCATCTCACTGCCCGACCTTCCATGGTCCCAACATCTTCCACACATGAAACCGTAGAGCGCCTAGACTCCAACGCATGCGACTCAGTGGCATCCCGTGGTTGCTCAGGCATCGCGGCAATCTCAGCCTGCAGTGACAAAAGCTGGGAACAGAAGTCTGGGTGGGATGTGGTCCCCGGAATCCCTGACTCTGCTGAAGCCGGAGTGGAAGCGAATCACAACCTAAGGTTTAGCTTTCAAACGCGACCAAAGCCGGAAAACTTACATACCGCAAGCACAGGAATGATTGGGGATCCGGTTAGCAGCAGCAGTAGTTGGCGGTGGTAGTGGTACTGTAGTGGTAGTAGTAGTCGCAGTAGAAGTGGGCACCTGGGACAGGCCGGTCTAATCAAGGGGGTGCATCATGGGTTTATGGGGCTCTTCAATTGCTGCCTTCTGCGGCTAATGAGATTTCTTGTTGACCAAGCACCCCGCCAATCAAACGCTTATGTTAACCCAGCTTCGAAATTACAATCCTGTCAAGCCCAACTCTCTGACGGCCCATAGAATGCTGATACAGTGGCGGCGCATATCTTGCGTATCTCCTCCACCTGTTCATGCAGCCACTACTGTCTTGACAAGAGCGGCTATGATTCGCCAGCTGTGGTGCTTTCGAAAGGGGCTCCAGGTGGCAAAGCACTTTTGCCCAGCCGCACTGCAGAAGTACACCCCAGTGTCTGAAGTACTGCCTACTCCCACTCGCACGGTGTGCGCGACGGTGAGCAAGCAGTCGAACAAGACAACTACGCAAGGGACTGAGAACTGTATAGGCTGGGCTGCACTGAGGTTCCGAAAACTTCCTAGTGAGGCCTGGCGGAGCTCTTCATCGGAGGGCCAAGAGCAATCCTTGCACAGCTTCCAAGCAGTGTTCTCTGCCATGCCGGTGCGTCCCTGGCCCAGCAATGTGCAGCCGGGGCTCTGCGCCATCAAGCTTGGCCATTTCTGCTGCGCAAGGCTTGGAGGACGTCACCCGATGCTGATAGCACCAGCCAAATGCTGCGGCATGCATGGACGGCGGGCGACATACAAGCAAGTCCCTTAGTCCAGGCCATTTCCTGAACTCTCACAACACGATGCTGATATGCCTCCGCGCCATGCTTGGGTTTCTGGCCGATTGCATCGATGAGCAGCGGGCGCCGCCAGTCCTTGAGCCAATGGTTGACCTCTCACTGCCTCTCACCCTGTACAAGAAGAGCAAAACCGGACCTGACACTACAGCATTGCTGTTGTGCTGGGAACTTGCCAGTCGACCATCCAATTGCTCGTGCTGAGCACTCTGAGGCCAGATCCCCATCACACCAGACACCGGTCTGCGCAGGGTGCAATGAATACTCGCTCGGGACTCTACACGAAGGAGCCGGGGGCACATCTGCTCTGGAAACGTCCGAAGTCCCATTCAATTGCTCCCAGGGTGGCTGGCCATCTGCGTCATCTTGTGCAGCCGGTCCACCGCCCAGTCCCCCAGGAGTCCCAACCTCACGAGCGTACTTGCGCACGAACCGCGGTGCCGATGGCACTCATGATGGCACCCAGCTGAATCTACTCGGGTTCCAGGAATCGAATGTTTTGTCAATTCTGTCCTCATAGGGTTCCCAGTCGAAGGGCGGATGAACAGAAGAGAAAATGAGGCCAACGTCGGGCTTAGACTCTTAGACCTTGCTCTCCGGAAGGGTTGCGCGCGGGAAGCTGGGGCTCCCGCGACTTCAGAATAACGGTCACGCCCTGTCCAAAATTAAAAATGCGGCTTCACAACATTCCACGACCACGCGTCTGTTCCTTCGACTCGTCTTGTCGACTGGGCGCCCTCCTAACGGATCTGCCTCGAGCTTCCGACCACCAGTCAGATGCACGGTGTGCTTTGTGAGCCTGGCGCTAGGTAGACTATATAGACTGACTAGAAAATTGTGGTCGCATGTCGAGCTCTGCAGTTGGATTCGGCCCTGCACCTTCTTAACCTGCCATGCAATCACGCAGGTCCTTCTCAAACAGTGGTCCTGTTATGTCCAGCTGTGCCTTCTGACTGTGGAGCTACAGCAGGCAGGAACCGACAAAGTCTTGCCCTTTCTAGAGCCGTTCAGCAAACAGCCAACCTGTCCCAAATTCGAGTTTGGGTGGCTTCAGCCGATCATTGCCTGCCTCGCCTCAACAAACCCGAGGTAACCACTGGGGAATTGAATCTGCTGGGTCCTCTTCACGGTGTCCTGGATGTATTCGAGCCTCAGCGCACTTGTTAAAGACACTCTGAATCTTCATTTCCACAGGATCACAATCAATGGTAAACAACTTCTCTCAGCAAACTCATGATTGAGGCTGCAACTTTCCATAGATAACCATCAGAAACGTCACATCACCGATGCCGAAGCGGCTGTTTTGGACGACGCTCACCTCCCGGCCAGTGCATAGCTTCAGTATGACAGAGCGATTCATAAGCTCGAAACATGCGAAACTCGGTGGCGCTTTGCTTCGGCCTTGCTGCGGTCTTGGCTGGCATGTACGGACCAATACTCCCACGGATCACCGAAATCGGCCAACTCGTACATCGGCCTCAGATCAAGTGGGAGAGCACCATGCCAAGAAAGAACCTGCCGAGCTTGTGCATCGCCATGAACGGGCTCAGACTCCATTTTTCGACTACAATTTCCGCTGCGCCAAGTCCTGTCCATGAGCCAAACGAGCAAGTCAAGGAAGATCCTATATAGAGTGTCTGTCGTCCTGCCTGACAGGCCTGACATTTCCTTATTGTCAACGAACACATGCAGATAATTTACCTTCTTGAGGGTTTCCACCCTTACCACTCAGGTCCGAGTCAGCTCCATGACAACACCGAAACAACCCACCATCTCCACAGTACCCCTAAGTCCGTCTGCATTCAACAGAAACGCAGAAAGAGCTTGCATGAACCGGATTCCCCGGATGAGTCCTGCCAGCGCGACTTCCGGCCGTCTTGCGTTTGGGCTTGACGCAGCTTGGCCCGGTTGGACAACAGCTCCGCAAGACCGTCGGCAGCCTCGTGGCGATGAATCTCCAAGTTACCATCGAGCCTGGGCCTACACTGGCAACTGTGCACAGCATGCAAAATTCGCTTACCTTGACTTCTGGCACAGGCTTGCAACTTCGCCCTCCACATAACATAGGTTTAACGGTGTAAGCTCTGGCGCCCGCCTGCACCTCGGCGGTGCTGCAGAACTCTGTTGGAAAGCCGCGGCCCCCGGCCTCAGAAGCATGGCCCATGTCTACCGCAAGTCTGCAGTTCTCGGAGTCGGCCTGGCCAGGGAGCTCCTTGGCCGTAAGGCTCTTGAGGACGTGCTGGCGCACACCTTACACCATCTGAAACTCTGGAGCCTTGTCCATCAAACATCAGGTTCTACTCGTAGCGTCAAATCAGGAGGAAGGGCGCTTTGACTAGGCCTTGTCGGTGTGGATTAGATGTCGTCCGGAAAGCACTCGGAGCTGGACTGCCGTCAGATAGATAAGTGGCTTCCGTGCCCACATCCTACTCGCATGTACATATTATATATATATATATGTATGTATGTATGTATGTATGTATGTATGTATGTGTTTGACGAGATGCACACACTTCTGTGCCCCTCGTCCCCCCACAAGATTCAGAAACATGGAGAAGCTGTAGCGGAGAGTGTCATGTTGCATTTCCGGGGAAAGACGTCCCTCCGTACCCCTCTGGTCGCTCCTAAAATCTAGTTTAATGTCACTCCATCCATGCCCCTGGAGCAGACCCTGAGAAGGTGTAACAGATCTCCTGGCGTGTGCTACTTGGACCTACGATGGACACCATCTTACCGGGTCAGCTCGCCTCTGTTGCAGCCCCGTGGCTCTCATCTCTGATGCCGGACCCGAAGAGAAGAGCCGTCACGCTGGAAACCTGACACAGGACAGGGAGATACTACATAATTAGGTACATTTCCTGTCGAAGCTGAAAGCCTCGAGAAGTGTTGACTGCCGGGAGAAATAAGGGCCGAAACCAGAAGGTGCGACAGTAGCCGTCGTGGCCTGGCCGTCCTCTTCGCAGCGTGCCAGGTGCGGTCGCCAGCCTTCGGTGCCTCGGAAAACTTGACCGCAGGAGTCGAAACTCAGGGGTAGCCACAGTAGCCAATGCTTAGAGCCAAGGATGGAGTCTACTTCTAATTACACTTCAACGGGCAGAAGAAAATGCACGCTGTAAAAAAAACCTCAGTGTCAGTAGATCTTTGCTATGAGAATTCAGAGCTTCCTTTTGTCCCAGGGGCCACCTGCGGTTTTCTCAATTGCCCATCGCAGCTCCTCCTCTTGGTGCTCACTGAGCTCCTGCTTCAGGCTTCAGGGAAAGCAGGCGGACTGTAGTGCAAACAGCGTGCCCCTGAGCTCTTCAGACTGGGACAGTCCTTCTTGGGGAGGCCGAGAAGCTTTGGCATCTCTCCACCACAAAGGCTGTGGATATGGTGCCGCAGAACAACCTTTCCACATGAGAGCTGCAAAGACATAAACACCCGCGTCTTGTGCACAATGAGACTTTCAAGCTGGCAAGCTCGCTTCTTCAAAGCAACAGCCACAGCAACATACGGAACAGAGATGTCTGCCACTCTTCTGGCTGGAAATGCCTTCAGTGCGACTTTATGGGACCTCTTCCTGTCCTGCTTGGCCGGCTCAGCTGCAGCTGAATGCAGGCTTGCCGACTTGCAAACTGACAGTTTGTGGGACGAACCAAACTCGGGGGAGCTTGTCGGATTTGGCAGAGTAACGTTGGCGTCTGTCTGCACATGCCGCAATGCAGCATCTGCACTCCTTGGTGCCCGCAGTCTAAGGTCAGAAAGGTGTAGTTATTTCGTCACTGCCTGGGCTGAAAGATGAACGGGTCAAACCCTTGAGAGAGACTTGGGTGTTTACCACTGTTTCCGAGAGTCATTGTTGCGCACACAGAAACGAGCCGCACTTGAGGATCGGGATGGCTGTGGAACCTTTGCATGCAGGAACTTGAAAATGTATCTATGCATGTGTATGCCGGCAGGCAAGCCAGGCAAGCAGACATCCTTGCTCTGCATGCTGCCTGCATCCCTGTCTGTACGCTCGCCCCCTGCTGCCTCTGTTTGCACGTAGATGTGCTGTTCTTCAAGACAGCTGGCCACTCCCCGACTCTCTGAGATGCAACCGAGCGGCTGGCTGAGCCAGTGCCTCGCAACGGGATTTCCCAAGTCGGAGAGAATGCCGAGCGAGTGCACACAGCGCCGCTGGAAAGACGTCTTCCCCGGACTGGGGGTCTTCTCCTCGGTTTTTGTTATTGTGAGATGAATTATCTTCATTTCTGCGAGATCGAGTTAGTGTGGAGGCCCAGTCACACCTTCACTGGAGGTCTGTGTCATGGCGGTTCCCAAAGCATCCGCCATCAGCGTGATCGATTCTGAAGCCGGATCCTCCAAGCTGTCGACGGCCAGCACGCCTCATAGCAACTTCATCAGCTATGCCCTGTCAAGCACATTGCTCGCTCGGCCGTGCCGTGGTTCCGTACTTAGCACCGAAGGCGCTTGATCCGGGTCAGCGGCAACAAAAACTGAAGACGTTTGACTGTGCAAGAAGCTCTCGCCACTCTGGACAAGTCAAGCCCAGGCACGCTCCGCGGCACACGCAGCCTGGATTCTGACATCGACATCCGGGTCGCTGAGCGCATTGATCCACATGCCCCGGTTCACTTGAGCAGCCTGCGTTTGCGGTGGCTTCATGGAATCCGGGTCTACAGAAAGTATTGTAAGCATCTCCAGCAAGATGGATCCACCACAACCGTGACAGGTGCTACTGCAATGCGAGACGCCTGCATTCGCCAAGGTGCAAGGACAAGGAAGCAAAGGCCTCTTCATCTCCAGGCTCCATCTCCAGTGCTGTCATTGTCTGCACCGCAGCCAAGCGAACCTCCGAACTGCTGTCCTGCCAAGCCGGAGCTCTATCCAGACTATGCCGACCCTGTAGGGTTCTGTTTCAGTTCTGCCCAGACCCTTCGACGGTCCTTACTTGCAGTCAAACCCCTGCCGTCATCGTTTTGGGGCATGTTCGCATGTTCACGAGCTTTGGAGCTTCATGCAGAATGTCAACATCCCCGAAGCACCTTTTGCGGAAATTGCGCAGAACTCCTCCAGAAGGCTTAGCACGAGATCGCACACACGCTGAGGAGAGACGTCGTCAAGGACCATCCGCCTGGTGCAGCATGGCTTTTCGCTAACCTGACCTAATGTTGACATGTTTGTGGCTCCCGTTCTGCCTGCCAACAGCAATTGAATTCAGGCTATTTCTTCCAGCCGCGCCTCAAAGCTCCCACCGCATCACGGCGCACGCCGGGTGCCTTCAAGCACAAGCGAGGTGAAGTTCTCCATGCTTGTCGGCTTAAGCCTCCCTGAACTGCAAAAGACATCCAGACTAATGACCAGTTAGGTTTACTCAAAACTCATCCGAGATGATCTATGCATTAGGCCTCGCATCGCATTGCCTTGCTTTCGCATAGGACCTCCTGGCACCGGCCTCGTGAGATGCGCAGCTTGCTGCCAGCTCGAAAACGCCTGTGCCGTTTAGTAATGCCCGATCTCAAGCTGCAAACAGCTGTGCGGTATGATCTGCTGCGGTAACTGTGCAATGGTAGCTGAAGCTCTCTGGGCTTACTAACGCAAGCACTGCACCTTTGACTAGTTCGACAAAGCAGGACTGGACGACAAGCATGCGAAGAACAGCACATCCTCACTCACTCAATCATCCACGACGGTCTTGAGAGCTGAAAGTAGCCTGCAGACTGAAACCATTGTTCAACAACGCTGACGAAGTGAGTGCACCGAAGCAAATTCCACTTGCTACTTCAGGCCGGCATTCCCCAAAGGGCGCCTTTAGCTGGAGATGCGGCTGCCCAGCCTCACCAGGAGTCGACTAAGAAGAGGAAGCTGTGAACAGCATGACAGAAGGAGGCAATTGCCGCGGAGGCAAGTTGCCACTTCAACTTGCCCAGGACAAGATGTGCCATGACACGGTGGCCTAGATTTCGCTGTCGCCAGCATGCAGACTGCACAACGGGCCGTACCTCGGAGTCTGGATGCACAAGCGCGACCCCGAAACCTGTGCGAGTGTCACTTGGCATTGATGCTTCTGCCACCAGCACCGTCAAAACAACAGGTCGATCATCGTAAGAACGGCATGCGTGACGGAATCATACGGGAAGCCAGCACCGCATCTTGGGGCACAGCAGATTAATCCGAAAGCAGCTCCTGGCTGTGGGCTGCCCGGCCGGCCGAATTAAGCGGCTGCCGAGTCAGGTGGCGTGATTCTTGAAAGTTTCCACTTGCCCTGTCCTGTGTTATAGGAGCCCCACACCCTTCCCCAGTGCAGAAGCAGGGGCGGCTTCAAGCACAGCTGCAGGCTCCGCGGTGGCCAATTGCTGCCTTGGCCGCCACAACAAAGACTTCAAAGGAAAGGGCAGGGGAGCGGAGGGGAGGGAAGGAGAAAGTTTAGGAGAAAAGGAAACAAGAGAGAGAGACAGCAAGAACGAAAGAAAGATTCTGAGAAGTAAAAAAGGTAGTCATTGCTGGATCCGACCATTCATTTTACAAGCCAATTAGGAACTCTTCCAAAAAACGTGTTCCAGCAGGCCCTATATTGGGTTTTCGCTTACAGCAGCAGAGTCGCAGGCCCAGCAACGCCGCGTCGACGCGACGTGCCTGCTCAGAGCCTCGGGCCTTCGAGGTCAAGACCTGAGCATTGAACAGAAAGTCACTATAAACTACGGGTTTTGGGTTTAGGGTTTTATATGAAGTCAAAAGACATTCCGTTACTCTACACATCGTCCATATAGAAGTCTGCGAGGACTCTGCGCAGGCCTAAGCACTTAGGCGTCCGTGGTTTGCGGCACGATAGATGGGCTTGTCGGTATACTCGGAAGCATTCTCGCATTGTCACAACTCTTTTCAGGCCCAGCCGCGCCAACCAAAGCAGAGGCCTCTTCGGCGTTTGCTGCCGCTTCTCCAGGTTCCGGCTGCTCTGGCTGCGCTGTGCCTTCCTCCATTTCTGACACAACATGTGAGCTTGCAGGTTCTAGTGGTTCCTACATCTTCTAACAGTGTGGTACGAGTAGGACCTGTCAGGGAGCCTGTGGGCATTAGCCTCATCTCTGCGTGCTGACCCTTCTGTTGCTGTCACATGCAGTGGCACGTGGGGGAAAAGACTACATACTATGCTGATACTACGATTTACTAAGTTACTAATATGTACCTTCCCAGTGTGGTAGTTCATCGCAAACAAGTCGAGAGCCGAAGAGAAGCAAGCGGCAGCAACTCTCATGCAGTTGGCTGCGGACCAATTCATGTGATGATGGGAATTGCGGCCTGGCTAACACTCCTACCAAAACCAGGACTGTCAAAGTGTCAAGTACAGCCTGTGGATTCGTGATCATGTCAGCTCTCGGTTCTGAGCTCAAAGGTGAATACTTCCTGCAAATGCTGAGCAGCGGGCTTGAACATGTCGAGCACGAGTTTTCCAGGAGTGGGCATCTTGACGAAAGGCTGGTTCAGTTAGGTTTGAGGTCAGGAAATTTGCAATCCCGACTGACATGAAGCCGGCCATCTCCTGTTAACATGTCCGGCACCGGCGCCAATTCGCACCCTTTCTAAAAAGGTGGCACATGTGTTCCATCCCAATTTCGATTCTTGAACCCATGCTTGGAACAGCTGAGGGCGGCGCAGGTCCCTGATGCACGAACCAGCAAGGCACGCGAGGACCTCGATATGCACAAGCGAGCGGAAGAGATCGAACCACAGCTCCAGCGCTCTAGCAGTCGCTCGCATGCGAGCTGCGCTCAGCCGCCGTTCTCGGAAACCTCTCCGCAGAACATCCTGGTCGAGCCGGAGCTGTCCAAGCTCCAAAGTCGAGAAATTCCTGACTTGCAACCAAGTCAACGGCTGGCGAGATTCTTCCGCCGCGTCAAAAGGTACACCTGGAATGCTTGCTGGAATGGATGCTGTTCGCACTTGTTTCCTCCGAAGCTCCGAATGACCCCAGTCTTCAGGAATATTCCAACATGAAGCAATGTGGATGTAATCCTCAGTATTTATAGTAGCCGGTAGCCATCCGCAGCAAAGCTTCAATCAACCCGGCAACTCCCGGCATCCCATGCATTTCCACTTCCGGATTGCAACTGGTGCTGTGGGGCCCTCTCGTGGCCGTGTTACAGGTCACCGTGGCCATGTTGCAGCTGTGGTGGGTTAAAGGAGTTCAAGCTGCGTGTATGGATTCACCTTTTCTTGTCTACTTGCCTGGGGTGGTGAGGTGGCCACGGTCCACTGATTCGCACCTCATGCACAAAGCGGCTGAACATCTTTGCATCCGATGTGGTCCCAGTGGCGCAAGATCCCAGGCTCAGACGGCCTACTTCACCCTATAGTCCCTAGTTGAGGTCTTCTAATAGCGTGCTTCCCAGCCAAGCCTGCTGGGTAGGACCAAATCGTCTGCGAAGGCAGTGGTCAGGCACGCGTGTCATCTCGCAGCCGTGCCGGTGTTGCCCGTTGGAATCAGGGGATTAGGGGCAACCCAAGCCCGTTAGGTGTTGTCTGCATAGCCCTATCGCATTTGCCCCCGCCCCAATCTGAGCATCTAAAATGTGCTTCCGTGGCTGGCCCTTGGGGTGCTTGACGATGCCTGATGTGCTTGCGGGCCAGCCTCGAGAATAGCTCCCTGGCTTAGCCAGTGAGCTTCAGAGAAACACTTTCACGCAGCTTAAACTGCCATGGATCCTTGCCCAAATGAAGAGATGGCGGCATAATGGTAGTGTGCTTCGGGAAGGATGACGCCTCACTGTTGGCGGATCCACGTCGAGCCCTGTGGAGCAGGCTTCAGCTCCAGTCTGGCTGTCCGGTGCCCTGGATCAGATGAATTGCAGCCTTCAAGATGGGACAAGCTTGCGTCTTGAAGTTGCAGGAGCTCTCGGTGCAAGCAACATGTAGCGACCAACTGGCACTTAAAGCCCTGGCCCTGTCGCTAAGTACGCATGTTGCACTTCCTGGACTCTTGGACATGCGGGCTTCAGGGTATTGCAGCTGCATGCCAAGTGGCCCAGGTTGTATGCCGAAGGACACGAAAGCAGGGGCCGTCACCTGAAAGGAGCTGCGTTCTTGGAAGCTGGAAAGTCACTCGGACGACAGAAACCCGAACCAAACTGCCGTTAAGCAACTTGCACCTGAAAGTTGTCGAAACACACGCATATTCTCGCTTGCTGCGCATGATCTGTCCAAAAAGGTCAATGCCCTCGAGCTTCGAGTTATCGAGTCGTCGTGCAAACCAGGATGAACTCCAGCCTGGCCTAAGATTGTCACAAACCTTGCCAGCCCAGGCACTGCCAGGTCTCTAACCATCACGGTCGGCGGCTCTTGCGGGATGTCTGTTGCACTGTCGGCCCTTGGCTTCAGCTCCTCAAGTCAGGCAGGCTCGTGGGCAGATCGAGCTCTGTTCAAAGTTCGTTTCGTGTGGCAAATTCTCGGGGGCCCGTGGCGCATTGCTGTCCTCGGCAGCTTCGCTAGTTTCCGGCTTGCCAGTTTCGGCTGCCTTGGGTGAATTCAAGCTTCGAACACCCACGTGCCAAGCCGAGGACGTTGTGACATTGAGCTCAAGGTGGCTGCCATTCATTGTCGAGTCTACCCAGGAATATCCACGTGCTCCAGTCCAGCAAAAATTGAAGCAGCTGCATGCCTACATCATGTGCAATACATCGGGACTTTCCGAACGCAAGGAGCATACTTGCAGCTGTAGGGCTTCTGAGGGAAGCTCGGCCGCTTCCGGTCGAAGCTCCTGAAGCACTGCTATGGAGCCGAATGGTCCAGGGCTTCCCTGGTCCACAGAATCAGCCAGGCCCTAGTGACCTAGTGCCCTATTGCCTGTCCCTGAACCCGCCAGGAGCAGCCTGAGAAGACCAAGCAAGACAACCCGTTCCCATACTTGAGAAATGAATAAGTGCTGCGTGCATCTATATAGAACTTATGTGTGTGTATAGACATACATACATACATACATATATATATATATATATATAAATCTCTCTCTCTGCATAAAGGGATATGCATAAACAGACACACACACACACGGACGGATCACCCATAGGCTTGTGCTGATTACGATGTCATCAGCAACTCCTAGACTGGCACTCATCTGAAGCTTTGCTGACTCTGCAGACCGGGCTGCATATGTAGAGTTGCACACCGAACGCAAGATAGCACATGTCAATGAGGCTTTCAGGACGCCCAGAGTCCCAGCCTGCGAGCTCTGCTCCTGAACCTCTGCCGGGGCTTCTACCGTCTCCTGCTTGGCCTCCACTGGAGGCCCAACGGCTGAGGCCTGGAACAGCATTTGGCGGCCCTTTTTGCTGCTCTTCAATCCTCCCTGGACCTGTCTACGACCCGCCGGGACTGTGAAAGGAGCAACCCATAAATGCTCTGTGTCACAAGTGCATCCAAGCATCGTTTGACTCTCGCTTCCCATCCTGGCCGAGTGTGCAAGTGAGACGACATGGTAATGTTTCCATGAATACCTTCGAACCACGGAGTTTCAAACCTTCGAGGGTTGAAACTCAAATTGTGCCCACCGTATGCCAACATGAAAAATCTGCACATCACAGGTATTCCGTACAAATATCCCAGCATGCGTGGTATCGGTAGCATAGCTTTGTTCTGGGTTCTGGGCTAATGCTGCTGCTGCTGTCGCTGCTGCGGCTGCTACTGACGTTCATCGTGACAGTCTTGCTTGGCCCGGATCTAGATGATACTTGTGACGATGATTTTCACCATGCTCCCGGCCTGATCAATAGCAATTGTCCTGAAATTGGTGGTGACAATGGAAACGATCATGAAGACTGCAATCATGGCGGGAATGATGAAGGCCATGCTGGCGACGGCAGTGTTGCCACCAGCACTGCCAGTGACATGACAATGATGTGGATGGTAATGATTATGGTGATGCTGATGACGATGATGATGGTGCCCATGACGGGTACGACGCTGATATGGACACGTATGTACACGGCTTGGATGAGGATGCTGCACATGCTGGTGCTGACGATGAGAGTGGTGATGATGGGAGTTGTGATGGTGGCGGTGGCCATGGTGAGGTGACGATGAGTCCATAAAAGGGCCTGCGCACTCCGCAAGTCAAAGCCCCAATTGCCCGTCCTCGGAGCCTTGGACAACGGAGTCCTGCGGAGCGCTGCTAGAATGTTTGAGCTACTGCGAAATGCTCTAGGTAAATCTCCAAAGTCTCAACAAACCTCTACGTCACAACGATGCAACTCCTGCTTTACAACCATGCACAAGTATTCACTCCTCACCACCACCACCACCACTACCACCACCACCACCACCACCACCACCGCCACCACCACCATCAGCACCGATGACAAGTGCCACAACCACTACAGTGGTGTTCGAGCTACGAATGCTGCCATACCATCCGTTTCGATCCAGAAGACAAGAAATATGCAGTTCTCGTGGCCTTTGCTGTTTCGAGGTCTGCGGCTTCGGTTCAGTTCACTGCGTAGGCTCGCCATTAAGACTTGCACGCTACATCGAGTCTAGATAGGCCAAGCAGCGACCGGTGCTGACCAGTGTGAAGACTACTTCCCAGTCTGCTCTCTGTGCGTAATTTGTGTAATCATCTTCGATACTTTTCTAGCTCGCTACAGCAGATGTGCAGGTTGTGTACGTGCAGGATCTTAGTTGTGTTGGATCTGCCTTACTCTGACTCTCCAGTCCGATTCAAGCGACCATTACTGTCAACACTGGATGCATAGGTGTAGGTCGTCTGGGTTTGGGTTACAACTCGCTTGCGATGTGCAAGCTGGCTCGGGATCGTGGTCCTTCTTGACGAGTGTCAAGGCTCTCTCCAATTCGCCGTTTTCTGCTGCCGCGATGAGCACGTTGGAGGCCTTGTGTATGCGCGGGCAGGCGTAGACGGATCGGATTCCCGGCTTGCAGCAGGACACTCATAGTCGCATATCCATGCAGCTTTGATGACAAGACTGGGGAAACTTGCAAACTCTGGCCTTCGCGCGGACGGCATCCTTGTGAGCCTGCCGTGGAGCTGGATTCGGTGCATTGATGCACAACAAAAAACATGAGGCCAATCGCTGCTCCGTGTTGGGAGTTCCTGTGGTCCCTGCTGGGGGCTGGCAGTCCCGGCCTTCTTCTTTTCCTCTTCAGTGGGTTCTTGGGGTGCAGCCTGACGAAAGAGTGCAGTGTGACACTTCCATATACTTTCAACAAACCCAAGCATGCTTGAAGAGTTATCATGCAGATTCTGCTCGACCACTCGTGACTAACATGTGCACTTTCGCATGATTGCGATGACGACGACGACGATTTCTATTCGCACTCCTACTCCTGCTGTCGGCTACTGATACTGCTGCTCCAACAGCTCTGCTGCTACTGCTACGACGACTCTCGCTTGTTGCCACTAAAGGCAAGGAATGGCCTCCTCCGCTGGAGGCTCAGAGAGCCCAGGCCGGAGGCCGCGTAGCCTTTATAGATTAGATGGCGGTGGGGGGATCGGTGCAGGTCCTTTTGTTTTCGCATGATTTCGCTGCAGAGCCTTTCGTGCTCAGCTTGCGTCAACAGATATTGTGACCGGGGCACTCATTGCCTCTGCAAGGGCTTCAAGGGTGTGTTGCAACTGCCACCAGGAGGCGCTTGCTCCAAGGAGCCATCCTCGCTTGCCTGCAAGAAGGCATCTCGGCCCTGCTTGCGGATGGCATTCAGCTCATCATCCTGATGGCATGGGGACATTTCTGAGAAACGTCTCACCTGAGATTGCAGCTCATTCCAGAACTGGCATCCTTCAAGAGTCTAAAGGTTCACTCCCGCTAAGTCCTCTGTGATCTGGCAGCCGGGATCCTCCTCCACTGGCTCCTGCGTATGAAGTCATAATCGCCGGCTAAAAAGGGATAAAAGGTGCCTGTGGCCACGCATATGCGCCCAAAGTCTACGCAAGGTGGAGTATCAAGCCAAAGTTAACATGTGGAATCTTCGTAAATATGTAAATGCTTGAGCCTGATGATGAAACCTGACGGACAAGCTCCAAAGAACACTTCTGGGATCCTCAGGCCATGAGCAGTCTGGATGACATAAAAGAAGCAGCTCCGGTCTTGCAACTCACTGTCATCCAGAATATCAAGACATACCTGCGTTATAGAGTATAGACTCAGGGTGTCAAGTCAGGTGCAGCAAACAGAAAACGACACGACAAAGAGTGGTGCAATGGCACCTTTTAAAACATGATGCCAAAAAGGAGCCTGATTAAACACTGCGTTCGCTGCTGTATCCCCAACCTGCGGCTCTGCCGGTGCCGGCGCCGACGGCGGCTCTTTAGCTGCTTCTGCCTGGTTGTGGCAATCCACCGCTCGGAACAAACCAAACCAGGTCTGACAAGTTTAGGGTTCAGAGCCAGTGAAGTTTGGTGCGCGTCCAAAAGTGGTCTAGGAGGCACGCACAGTCACACCTCTGCTGCTTCATGTAGCAGTTTCGTCTGTGTGTCGATCGTAAGAGTCTGGTCTACCGGTCTCCTCCAAACGCGCGAGACGACAGCGGGTTAAACAGTAAGCGTGAATGACGAGTGATTAAGACAGCCATGGATATCTTCTGACAGAGCGTGGCAAAACAAAAATGCAATCTGGCAGAAGCTGCCTCCGCCCCGCGGAGATGGGTGCAAAGAAAGCTGGTGGGGTCCGCGGGCTGCTCCTTCAGGAGGGCCTGCCAAGAAGTCATAATAAGTCATAGTGCGTGGTGCCAACAAGACTGAATTTCTGCTGTTGCTGTTGCAAGCCCAGCGGATGACAACATAGCACCCGGCAGCATGATTCATGATACCAGCACGTACAGTAGCTGCTCAGCTCCTATTGGTGAGCCGGCGCTCCTCCTTGGATCTACGAGACACCTTCTCAATCGTTCCCGGGCATCGTAAACTTTGCGATTTTCTTTCCGGGCCTTGACCGCTTCAGACAATCTCACCTCACTCGACAGGGCGGAGGGTGCAATCAATGGGAGGTGAGATTTCGACGCACCCACTCACTCAAGGCAGGGATAGCTTCTGAGGGTCCCAGCTGGCTCCTGTGACATCAGCGAGGGAGGCGACAGATCAGCTAAACAGATACTTGAAAGTGGCTCGAACGTATGCCAAGAACATAACCATAAGGGGCAGTCTATCCGATCATCGCACACATCTGTCCCTCACTCTCGGCCAGCCGTGACACGACTCGACTGACCAGCCATGTATGCTACAGCATCATGTACCGGGGATGTAGGTATACACTCGTGTTCATTTCCCGCTGGTCCGAGGTGCCTGACTCTAATGTTTTCTTGTGGCTGCCTCTCTGTCCACATGCATCACGTATGTATGTCTATGTGTACATCAGGCGTAGTCACACCTGGCTCTGGTCTCTGTGTGTCTGTGTGCGCATAGTTAGCTGGCTCTTCCATCTCTCTCCATTGCATTATCTATCTGCAGAACTGATGTCTAACACCATAGCCATACGTGCATATGTGTCTGTGTGTGTGTATTGTGCGACCGACAGGAATTATGCAGTTGATTGTTATATTTTGCGAAATGTACCTGCTCAACGCTCCGCCTCCCTCAGAATACCTCACAACTGCGCACCGGACGGCAAGCGAGCACAGAGTTGAGCCGGGCTTCTTCGATGTTGTGCTTCGTCAGATAATCTCTCGCCTGCACTTTGAGTGCCTGCAGGGTCAGGATTCGAGCCTCTATATAGATCCCAGCATAAGAGAGTGACGGCACACCCAAAGCAGGCTGTTGTAGGTTGACATGCACCCAGCTGCTACCCGACTGGCTATGTCTCTGTCTCTGGCCTCTTTTTTTGAGGCCGGGTACGAGGCAATGTCAGTGACACGCATGGTCAGGCACAGACAGGGTCAAGACAATAGGTAGTCAGTCAAAAGGCGCTTCTCTGCTAGTAGTAGTAGACAGGGTCTTCCAGTTGTTGTAGGGCGGTTCTGTTAGAAAGGTCCTAAGAGTTCTTAAAATTCATTCTTCAGGTGCTCGCTATGGTTCATATTTATGTGAGAAGCAAGGCTTCAAGGTTTTTCGTATTTCTCGGTCTGACAGGCTTAAGACTCTGAGTTGTTTCGTTTAAGCTTGAGGGGACAGGAGAGGGCTGGTGACTAGTCGCAGTCGTAGCAGTAGCAGCAGCAGCAGCAACGGTAGCAGTGGGAGAAATAGTAGTAATCGTCGTCGTCGTAGCAGCAGCAGTAGTGGTGGTGGTGGTGGTGGTGGGTGCAGCAGTAAGTAGCGTCACAACTGTAGGGTTTTAGTCGGTAGGTATTTTCGGCTTCAGGTTTTGGAGGTGTTAATTAGCAGCAGCAGGAGGAGAAGGGGGAGAGGAGGAGTGGCGGTGGTGGTAGCAGCAGTAGCAGTAGCAGTAGCAGTAGCAGTAGCAGTAGCAGTAGCAGTAGTAGTAACAGTAGCAGTAGCAGTAGTAGTAACAGTAGCAGTAGCAGTAGAAGTAGCATTAGCAGTAGCAGTAGCA